GACGGGGGAGTTTCACCGTGTTAGCCAGGATGGTCTCGACCTTCTGCCCTTGTGATCCGCTGGCCTCAGCCTCCCAAAGTGCTGGGATTACAGGCGTAAGCAACCACGCCTTGCCAAAGACCAGTCTTTAGAATTAATCCAATCAGATATAAATAATGGGGAAAAAAGTGAATAAAGCCTATGTGAAGAAATGAAACCTAAGACTTATAAGCATTCCTAAGGACAAAAAGAAAAAGCAATTAATTTAGAAAACATATTTGAGAGACTAATTCAGGGAAATTCTGTGATCTTGCTAGGGAAATAGACATCCAGATACAAGAAATTCAGAGAACATCTGTGAAATACTATACAGTGTGAATATAACGAAGGCAAATAGTCATCAGACTATCCAAGGTCAAGATCACCTATGAAGGAAATCTCATCAGACTAAAAGCAGACTTATCAGTAGAACCATTACAAGCAAGAAGAAATGAGGGGCCTATTTTCAGCTTTCTTAAAGAAAATAATGCCAGCCAAGGATTTCATTTTCTGTCAAACTAAGCTTCATAAATAAAGAAGAAATAAAGTATTTCCCAAACGAGTGCAAATTTGTTATCACTACACTGTTTCTATAAGAAATGCTCAAAGGAGTTGAAACATAGATACAAAAGAACAATACTCACTACCAGAAAAAGACAATACTCACATGTAAGAACAAGGTTCATAGATCCTATAAAGCAATTATACAATTAAGTCTACGAAGCAAATAGCTAACACATTATATCAGAAACAAAACCTCACATATCAATATTAACCTTGAAGAAAATGGCTTAAATGCTCCATTTAAAACATACAGATTGGCAAATTGGATTAAAAAAAAAAAAAAAAGAAAGACCCAACCATCTGCTGCTTACAACAGATCCATATAATGAGTAAAGACACCCACAGGTTCAAAGTAAAGGGTAGTAAAAGATACATCACACAAATGGAAAACAAAACAAAAAAAAAAATAGAAAGTCATTATTAATAAATACCCACTAGATCTAAGAAAAGCAATAGACTGCCATACAATAATAGTGGAGGATTTCCACACCCCACTGACTGCACTAGACAAATCAGCAAGGCAGAAAGCTAACAAAGAAACTCAGACATAATTAGGACTCTTGACCAAAAGGTGTTAATAGACATCTACAGAACATTCCACCCAGCAACCCCAGAATACACATTTTTCTCATCTATGCATGGAACATTCTCTAAAATTGACCAAACACTTGGCCATAAAGCAAGTCTCAATAAATTCAAAACAATGAAATAATATCAAATATCTTCTCAGATCACAGTGTAATAAAATTAGAAATCAATAGCAAGAGGAACTCTCAAAATTACACAGGACATGGAAACTAAACAACTTGCTCCTGAGTGACTTTTGGGTAAACAATGAAATTAAGGCAGAAATCAAAAATATTTTGAAACAAATGAAAACAGAGATACATCCCCAAATCTCTACCAGACTAGGAAAAAAATAAAATGAATTTCCTTAATGCCTTATATTTATCTATGCATGAATGAATGAGAAGGCTTATAGGTCATATATAAAGATCTGATATGGCAACAATGTTAGAAGACGATATAGCACTGTCTTCAACATTCTGATGGAAATATTAATGTATTTTTAACCTAGACTTTAGTTAACTGTGAGGATAAAGTAAAACCTTCTTCAAACATGCAAGTTCTGAAAAAAACAAAATCCTCCCAAAGACTTCTAGGAACTATAGATAAATGTGATCTGACAAAAGAGAGAAGTAAAGCAAGAAAGAAGATGTAAAACTAGGGTGGGGAAAGAATCCACCAAAGAAGAAAGGTATAGGAGACTCCCAGCATTAAGATAAAAGAGAGTTCTAAGGCTGACAGCTGAGCAATAAGCCTAGAAAACAATTCAGAACAGACCAAAAGGAAGAAGGATTTTGGGGGAAGCATCTCCATCTCTAGGAAAAAAAATAAAACAAAGCTGACATTAATTTATTCCATTCTCTGTATACAGATATAATGCTTAAGTCTTTTGTGCTTTTGTGGATAAATTCAAATAGAAAGAAAAGTAAACTAAAAACTTTGAGATTAAGATGACAATGCCCCTCAATTAAATACTACATAAGAAAGTAAATATAACCATAGAAGAGTAGCAAAATGTTCATAGATATAACAAACCCCAAATATTTCACAAAAACAAGATAAAATGATATAGCAACAATGAGGATGGGAAAAGAAGAAGTGTGTCTGGGTGTGGGAGTGAGGGGTTATATATTAGGTTGAGTAAATCCTAATTTTCCATAAAATGCTAGTTTTTCATAAAAAGCAATAGATTATTTTGTCCACTGAAGAATCATGAAATAAGAGAGTATGTTTGTTAGTGGGCTATTTGGAAAAGAATAAAATAAAAAACAAAAAATAGTGTTGCAGTGGTTGACTCTAGCATGGAGTGGAGTGGGGAAGTGACAGCAATTTTGTTGTAAACATTATAGTATTATCTTCAATAACATAATGTCTTATTGTTAGAATAATAAATGGATTTAAAATAAAATGAGTGATTTCATATTTTTAAAATATATTTGAGAAAATGATTTTAGCATACTCTTATTAGGAAAAGTTTCCTGATAAACAAAATGTAATAATGTGTCCTTCAGTAGATATTTCTATTATAATTTATGTCATATGTCAGGCCATCAGAAACAGAGAGAATGGAATGACCTGAATTTCCAAGCTATGATAAGGCAATACTCAATTATTGTGACATAAATGAAATGCTAAAATAATATAATAATGAGACTCCTCCTGGCTTGATGAGAGAAATAGTTCTGGTTTTCAGGTTGGGCAGAGGTAGAGCAGACTACATGTTTGCCCAATTTTTTGTTACACTGAATCTCACTTACTCTTTGTATTTGGGCAAAATGCTCATGAAACCTGCCATGATGTGCTCTTTGTAGGGTAGCAGGTGGAGGGTAGAAGGTGGGAACAAAGAAAACAACAGAGAGTTGATTAACCTGCAGAGGCAGAAGTGGTAAAATCTAGTTGGTTAATTTTACCTTTTAGAAATTGAAGCCAGAGTGGATAGGAGAGTGAAAATAGACTAAAACTCTTATTTTATTCCAATGAAATTTAAAAGATAAAATATTTTCAAAATGATTTTTACAAGATTGTGCTGTTTTTATAAATTCTTCCTATAATATGTTCATAGAGAACAATAACAATATACTATTTAATCTCGAATTTACATCATGATAAAAACATAAAAACATAAAATGTTGCATTCATATTTGCAACTTTTATAACACATTTGATTAAAAGTAACAGATTCAAGTGCTTGTTACTTTGCCTCTTAAATAGGTCTTGGGGAAAAGAATTCATTAGAAATCTCACTGGAAAGAAACTCTTGATATACGCTGCTGACTTCTGCCACCCATGCAATTGCTTATACAACATGGCAATAAAAACAAATAAGAGAACAAAATACAAAATCTGACAGTCTTTTAGGAAACTTGGAGCTAGAATGTGACATACAATTGTCATAATAACTTTTCACGGTTTACAGAATAACAGTTTCCAGTGTAGTTTCCCCGGTTTATTTTTCTTGATCCAAACTACAGGCATAACAGTATTATTTTTCTAACGATATTTTTACATTTTTAAATGAAGATAGTGTGGTTAAACACCATTGAATAGTCTTCTCAAGACTGCTGTACTTATGATGCCAACCATTACAAGGGAAAGCTAGTTGTGATTTTAATTACATATAGCCTATATTTTAATAAAGTCAACATGTCTGGCAAAATATATTTAAAAGAAAATGTGGGATGAATGTCTGCTCTTCGGCTGCTCGGGGGCCAGTGCCCTATGCCGCGTTCTCTTGTGATCCCTGACCTAACCCATCTCTTCCTTTTCCCCAACCTCAGGTGGAGCCGCCATCACCCTCCATGTTGAACCCTCGGATACGATAGAAAATGTAAAGGCCGAGATCCAGGATAAGGAAGGAATTCCTCCTGCTCAGCAAAGGGGGATCTTTGCTGGCAAGCAACTGGAAGATGCATGGACTTTGTCTGACTACAATATTCAAAAGGAGTCTACTCTTCATCTTGTGTTGAGACTTCGTGGTGGTGCTAAGAAAAAGAAGAAGAAGTCTTACACCACTCCCAAGAAGAATAAGCACAAGAGAAAGAAGGTTAAGCTGGCTGTCCTGAAATGTTATCAGGTGGGTGAGAATGGCAAAATTAGTCGCCTTCGTCAAGAGTGCCCGTCTGATGAATGTGGTGCTGGGGTGTTTATGGCAAGCCACTTTGACAGACATTATTGTGGCAAATGTCTGACTTATTTCTTCAACAAGCCAGAAGAAAAGTAATTGTATGAGTTAATAAAATACATGAACTAAAAAAAAAAAAAAAAAGAAAAGAAAATGTGTAGGTGTTCCCTGTGGAATAAAAATTATCACTTAATATTTAAGTCTCATTTTCACATATAATATATGCTTAAAATATTATTTCTGCTTCACTGTGTCAAATAATTGTTACACATTTGAAATTTCATGAGTTATCACACTAGCTGAATTAGTGTCACACCTATGTCACATGTGAGAATCACCAAATAGAACACATATAGTGCCCTAAAATGGGAAATGGATAGAATTTCACTGTCATTAAAAAAAATTATCTGAAAATCTACCTCCCATATAACTAATATTACAAAAAATTATTAATAATGTAAACTATATTGAATTTAAATATCCTTGCAAAATTTGACAATTTTGATAGGCCAAATACGAAGCTGGTTTTTCCCTTTGTGAATTAAAAATTCCTCAATTTTACATGTTGGAATGGACACACAAGGATAATACTGAATCAATGTATTTTTAAAGAATATAACAAACTGTATGATGTTAGGAATTTTTATGACATTTGTAGAATGGTTTCATATTTTTAAGATAAATAGCCTAACAAGGTACACTAAACCTCTCTTTGTTTTACATCAAATATGAGGGAAGAAAGCACAGCCAGACAGTCATGATGGAGAGAAGAATCAATGCACTTTTAACAATGTGAATTCCAGATTCACAAAGACCCAACAGAAAACTATGTGGAAAAGATGAAAGCCTGTGCTCACCTTTGCTTTCATAAGTCTCTGAGGACATCTGTCTTGGATTCATTGGGTTTCAGAAAGCCCAGTGTGCTTGGGAGCGTTGTAAAACCAGATCCTCCCTGTCTCTTAGGATGTAATATATCTCTGAACGTTTGCTTGTGGTACTAGAGCCAAAGATAATTATTCAGAATCCTTTTGGGCTTCCTAAGGAAAAGGCTAGAGAGAGAGAACAAATAGCATGCTGCTGAAGTACAAATGCTGACGAAATGATAATGACTGAGACAGCATGTCAAGAAGACTTCTTCAGTTAATTCTTCCTACAGCTGGAAAAAAGTGCAGTTACCAATTAGGCATCATTTGTATTGTTTACTTGCCAATTCTGAGCTATATTATTCTAAAACCTCAAATTTCTTAGAGGCCTTAATGGTTGTATGGGCTGTATCATAAAAGCATAGCCACAGATAACATAATGTAAGGAAAACCAACATTTTTCTCACTACTAAATTTCAATCACTCAGTAATTCCACCATTTATGGTTTCATTAAATAGAAATATAAAGCTTCTATTATTATGCAACACTACCTAAGATGGTCAACATAGGAAGCACTGGAATTATTTTGATACTAAATTTGCTTTTCATAGAATTTAGACATCCTTTTAGCAGAATTCACTGGTAACAGAACCATAAACTGTTCACTCTATATGCTATTCCATAGAGGGGTAAGATGAATGTGAAGTATTCACTGCAGATGAGAGCTGGGGAGCAATATGGGAAGAAGGGGATAATGTAAGGGAAGACCAACTGAAGATAATCTCTGGGATAAGTCACAAGAAAACCCCCCTCAAGTTTACCTCAAATACTTGGACTGACATCAATAGAACTCCACATTCTCTGGAAATCTTTTCTCTTTCAGATAATCGATTGGGTTTTTATACTATTTGATCACAATTTCCCACCATTGCGACTCCATATAGCTCTAACACGTTTGTTCTTTCATCTCACTTTTACTTTGTTCTTTTGTTCCCTAATCTGTCTCACTCCCTGCATCTCTTTTCTTATTCTCCCTCCTTTTTCTAATAATTACCACTTAAATGACTCAGGTTGCTAACATACTCAAATAATTTGCCCTTCTGCTCTTCCACTCCATTCATCTAGCAAAACCGCCTGTCTGGATTGAAATAATTGTTATTAATGATACAGTAAATAGTGGATCAAGGGAAGTCCATAAGCAATGAAAACTGATCATGTTTTTATGTCTCTGATTACATTTGGGATACCAGCCTTGCCCTGCACTAACTCCTCTAATCTCTTAACTTTTAATTTGAGCATCTTTTTTTCTTTCCATCTGTTCCATCCCTTTCCTCAGAGGCAATTTTTAAAAACACCAGATGAGAACCCACTCAACTTTCTGCCATCAAACCCATAATGTACCCTTCTCTGAAAACCTTATTAGGGTTTTCTGTGGATTTGGATGCTGATTAGTGAGGGAGACCTTGGCTGGAAGGGGAATGACCTTGAATTTTCCCACAGAGCCCATCTCAGCCATGTTACTACAATCATGGCTATAACCCAGTCATGGTGCTGATGCTGGGAACATTTAATCTTTGTTTACCAACCATGTCAGAACCAAAACTATTCTGACAACTTCCATGTTCTCCCCTCTGCAATGTGAGAGGAAGGGAAAGTAAGGGTTGCCATCAGTGGCTTGGGATTTACAAAACTCAATTAGTGGCTTCTTTTATCTGTGCTACAGTCTCCATTACCTTCCACTTCCCAATTCATAACTAAAAATTTAGGAATATTCGTGAAAGGACCCGCTCTCCTGGAGCTTCTGGTGATGTTGAGTCCTTCTTGACTGCCCAGCTTTCATGAACTCGTTCATCTGTTAACTGAAATCAACATTAGTCCTTAGGTCGTGCATTAGATATCTAAACTTTTTCATCCTATATATCTGCTATTTTTTTATCCTTTGACCTACATTTGCCCCTTCTCTCTCATTTCATTCTGTATCTCTGTGTAGTTGAGCTTTTTTTGTTCTTATTTTACATATTAGTGAGATCGTGCAATATATTTTTTCTCGCTTATTTTACTTAGCATAATGTCCTCCAGGTCTATTCATTTTGTGGCAAATGTAGGGTCTTCTTTTTAAAGGCTGAATAGTTATTCCATTGTGTGTGTATATATACACACACACACATACCACATTTTCTTTATTCATTCATTTATAGGTGGACATTTATATTATTTCTATATTTTGGCTATTGTAAATAATGCTACAATGAACATGGGAGTGCAGGTATTTTTACAAGTTGGTGATTTTATCTCCTTTGGGTATATATCTAGAAGAACGATTGTCAGGTCATATGGGAATTTGATTTTTAATTTCTTAAAGAATTATTGTGAAAAATAGTATGGCGTTTCCTAAAGAAAATACAAATTAAATTTTCTTTTTAATTCAGATTTTATCAGAAAAAAGTTGGCTTTTGTCTTTACGATTTTAATTTTCTAAACCATGATTGTTTATTTGCATATAAATAATATCATTTAATTTATATTTGCTAATATGAAGTTTTTGTGAAAGTCATATTCTACCATGCAATAGGGTAAAGGGTAAATAAGTGCAAAATATGTGCCAATATGTGGAAGTGGTTTCTCAGAAAAAGTTAAAAATATAGGCTGCTGTAAATTAATTTTTACTTCTAGAAATAGAAAATCTTGAGAAAATTTCCTCTTAATTGATGGATTAATTATGCTTTAGTTATTAAAATATTCCTGCATTAAAATTTTTGTAACTCACCTCTAAAATTATTAATTACTTAAAACCAAAATTTATATAAACTAGTGACTAACTTATTTTGTGGCTTCACACTTGACATGCTGGCCACTTACTTGGATTTCTAACCCAACTAAATTACCTTTCTCTAAATTAATTCCTAAACTTAATTTTTAATGTGACCTGAAAATAAGTTTATGTACTTATAGAAATAAACAAAGTATACCACATAAATTTGAACATTGATTTTTATGTGCTATACATATTTGACCCATTTTTTTTTTTTTCCAAAGTGTCTTTGAAAACTCTGGGAATTTCTTGAAATTGACAATTTTAGCTGCTGTTCACTTGGGTTCCTAATTATGTGGCATATAGATTCACATGAATCACAAAGCATCAAAAGGAATGTTTTATTACTATAGCCTCATGTATCAACTGACAAGTATTTGATGTTAACTAATTCATTTTAAATCCCTGACAATAATCCACTGTTCTCATCTTTCAATGTTATCTGTTTTTAGAAGAGGGCAAAAAGATGAAAGAAAAAATAGAAGAATAAAAGACATTCACTATAATATTCAAAGAGTAAAAAAGTTATTTCAAATAATAGAAAAATTACTATTTTAAGCATTGAGTATTACATGTGATGGATTTCTTTCTCTCTGGGTATGGTCATGTTATCTTGACTAACTTTATTGAAAGCTTTACTAATTTACTTTAAATTTTGTTTATTAAAACTGCAGCTCTACTTCTGGTGATCTTCCCATTTAATTTCTCTCCATGAAAACTGGAGCTTATGAGAAAGTCTTCAGTTAGAGTAATATTTTTTATATCAGATACTGGAGGTATAAAGCAGTAGAAAAAACATAAAAATCTGAATATGGGAAGAGAGTTTTTATAAATTCTAGTTGTTAAAATAAGGGTTAAAAGGAGTACTTTTCGAATGCCTCTAATATTCACATTTTTTCTGTGAGGCTGTAGCAATCAAATTTCCCTAGAAAAATAAAACCAATAAAATATCTCTATCTATCTATCTATCTATCTATCTATCTATCTATCTATCTATCTATCTATCTATCTATCATCTGTCATGTATCTATCTACATATCGTTACCTAGCTATCTATGTCTATCTATATATGAAGAGATTTATTTCAGTGAATTTGCTCACATTATTCCGAAGACTGGCAAGTCTGAAATTTGTTTGCAATTTGCAGGCTGGACGGCGGGAAAATCAAGCAGTAGTTGATGTTCTGGTCTTAAGGCAGATTTCTTCTTCTTATCAGGAACATCCCTGTTTTTGCTCTTAAGGCCTATCAAATGATTAAGTAATCCTCACCCATATTATTGAGAGCTATCTCCTATACTTAAAGTTAACTTATTATAGATGTTAACCACATGTACCGTCATAGCAACACCTAGGTTAGTGTTTGATTAAATAGTTAAGAACTAACACTTGTCAATTTGACACATAAAACCAACCAACACAGAGGCCATGTATGTATAAGCAAGCCATAACAGCAAATATTTTAATAGACAAATTTTCTTTATTCTGTTTTTCTGTTATTTTTAGTAAAAAGTAATTTTTAAAGTATTTCTATATTTTTCATGGCATCACTATTATACAAGGAGAAATTAAGAAATGTGAGCTGAGCTATACAAAGTGTTGAAATTTAATATTTATAAATATAAGTTAATCATTCTTAGGACTAAGATATCTGAATTAAATTTTGTTTAGTACTCAACATATCTGTAATTGTCTCATCACTTGCTTTATTTTAAATATAATCATTTTGATAGATACTATACTTCCTAAAGTTTAAAGAATTTATCTAGTAATTGACATATTTCCAACAGTTTCAAATTATTTTTCTCTTAATTCATATTTTAACAATTAAATCACTTAGGACAGGTATGTGTTGGCTTTCCTGACCTCTTTTTGCCTTTAAAATACTTCTGACATCTTATTTGTTTTCTATACTGGGATTATAATTAAAAATTATCTTTTGATTATTTTCTCAACCAAATTGAGTTAGAAAAATGTTTTATTATCATTATTATTATTATTATTTTGTGTGTTAGAAAAATGTTTTATTATTATTATTATTTTGATTTTTTTTTCATTTTACAAATTCAGTGATTCAGAGTCTATTCAAGACTTAGGTAACATTTTGGATGAATAAATATGGGGTTCATTACTTTGTTTCAGGCCATGAGAATGCTATAGCTATAATGCACAGAAGGGCTAACATAGTCACATTATTGCAATCATCTAGATAATTGGGCATTCTCTAAAATTTGCAGCATTCTTATTTTACTGTTTCAGGTCATGAAAACTATTTTTTATTTATAGTATTTTAAGAAATATTTTGCATTTTAAATCTTTAGATATTTTGTTTAGTTGACTGTGTCCTTGTCTCCCATTACTTTCAGGTAAAGATGCATTCATATTTAAAATTGCCAGTTCAAAATACTATATATGCTATTTTGTTGACATTGTCAAAGAAGGAATTTAGATTCATACACACACACACACACATACACACTTACTTCAGTTTACTGTTCCATAAGTGCCTAAAGTGAGTACCAGGACATGACCTTGGAATCTAGGAAACTAGATAGGGAACATGGAAAAAAATTAGTCTGAAATTGCAATGGCAAGATTGTATGCTCTTAGCAATATTCTAAAACACAAAAAAGCAAGACACTTGTGATAAGCAATGAGGCAGATAGAGAAAGATTTCTGCTTTTATATATATCCAGAAATGGTAGCAGTTTATTAATTCTTGTTTGGGCATTTAAATGAGTAAAGAGTACTTTAAAACAATATTTTCTTTTCCTACTTACCAATTGCTGCTTAGAATATAATTCAATATATTGAAAAATAAACTCAAATATAGCCTAACAAAGGAGTGTTTCTTTTAAATCTTACATGTAGAAGGCAGAACACTCTAAATTACTTTTTATTATATTTTGAGCACTCCATAAAGACTTAGATAATAGTTGATTGAGTGTTTTAGATATTGATGACGCACAGAAAACGTCTGCATTCTTCTCCTTAACAATTAAAATAACAGCATTAATCCTAAACTGAAACATGCTTTATTTTGATTATTTGCCCCTAATATTTGCCCCTCTGTTAATTTTTCAATTTTAAATTGCAAATTATATTTTATGATATGCAATATACAATGATGCTATAAAAATCTATCAATATCTATTATATTTCCATCAAGACACTCACTTGCATTTATGTGGAAATACTATCAGAGTTTTAAAAATAGGATTTATCTACCATTTGGGCAGAGAAAAGATATCTAGGCACACATAAATAATGAGCAGTGAATGACCAGGGAGTTCTCAAGAAATAGAATCATCATTTTTGGTTTTGTTTTGTTTTTTGAGGGAGGGTCTCACTCTGTTACCTACAGTGCAGTGACACAATCACAGGTCACTGCAGCCTCAACCTCCCAGGCTCAAGCCATCCTCCCACCTCAGACTCTTGAGTAGCTGGGGCTATAGTCATATGACACCACATACAGCTAATTTTTTTTTAAGAGATGGGATTTCATTATGTTGCCCAGGATAACACAGAATCAGAAATTTTAATAATGGTTTGTATTTTCTGTTGTCACAGACATTGCCCTAAATGAATTTGAGTTGTCCCAAGTGAATATGTTTACCTATACAAGAGGATACGTTTGCAATCATAGCTGATGTCAAACATTCATTATATAGCTTTTCTGTAAGTTTTTGCTGCTTTATTACTGCTAAAATCTCCAGCTGGAAAGAGGCAAGAAAATTAAATTTTTACAAAAGTCAGGTCAGTTGAGGAGCTCCACTGCTAATAGCACCAACTTCAAGTAGATTTGTATATGAGCTTGTCCCAGAGGGAACAATTTCTAATAAAATCTGACTCTACTTTTAAGTTTTCTACATTAGGCACTTTGAATGGATCCACACAACAAAGTGAACACTAGGCAGCGTCACTGTTTTCTGATATGCAGTTTTAAATATTGTATATTACCCCAATTGCACATCTAGAAGGATATAAAAACATATTGTATGCATGTTTGGATTACAAATCAATTTAATGACATATGTTTGTGAATATACTTATCTTTAATTTACTTTCATGCCTTAAGAGGAAGTAATTCTGTGAGAGTGATTTCTATATCACTTTAACATATTACCACAGGTGTTTTGTTTGTTTGTTTGTTTGTTTTTGGCCTAAAACAACACACATTTATTATCTAACTTCTGTAGGTCAGAAATAGGGATGAAACTGCTAGTTTTTTGCACTGGGTCTCAGAGAGCCAAAATCAGTGTCAGTGAAGCTTTGCTCACCCTTTCTGGAGGCTCTGGGGAATTAACCAGTTTCAACATACATTCTGGTTGGTTGGAAGAATTCAGTTCCTGTAACTGAGGTTCTCATTTCTTTTCTGCCTCTCAGCTGTGGGGGTTAATCTTCCCTCCTAGAGTTTGGGTGTTTTTCTTCTCATGCTTTTAGGTGCTTGTGACATTCTTCTTAATGGCCCTTCTCACCCGTGGTCTCCAGCAACAGCAAGTGGATTCCCTCTCAGACTTTGAATCTCTCCAGTTTCCCTTTTGCTGCCTCTCTATGCCATCTTGTTCTTCAACTAGCTGTAGAAAATTCTCTGCTTTTGTTTTTGTTTGTTTGTTCTATTTTTTGAGATGGAATCTCACTCTGTCACCCAGGTTAGAGTGCAGTGGCATGATCTCGGCTCACTGAAACCTCCGCCACCCCCCCACCGGGTTCAAGCAATTCTCCTGCCTCAGCCTCCTGAGTGGCTGGGATTACAGGTGCCTGCCACCGTGCCAGGCTAATTTTTGTACTTTTAGTAGAGACGGGGTTTTACCATCTTGGCCAGGCTGGCCTTGAACTCCTGACCTCATGATCCACCCGCCTCAGCCTCCCAAAATTCTCTGCTTTTAGAGGCTAGATTACATTAGATTCAGTGATTAGATCAGCGGCACCTGGATAATTCAGGTCATCTTTCCCTATTTTAAGGTCTATGACATTAATTATGTCAGCAAAACTCCTTTTACCACACTGGGTAACACTCACAAATTTTCAGGGCAAGAACATTGCACATTTGCAAGGGTCTACTATTCTGGCTACCGGAACTGCTAGTCCACAGGAATTGGTTTACCTTTTCCTTTATGTTAGCATCTGATTTTTTAGGGTCACATTTTTTGAAATATGAATACAACACTTAATGTTGTATAATACAGTTATCGTTAATTGAAGAAATACATTATTTTTTTTCTATCTTAATTACAGAAAGAGTAGCATGATGTTTTAATTACTTAAAAAATATTGAATCAGGGGTTTTAAAAGTATCTGTTATCTACCCAAACAGTTGTGTTTCTCGTTTTAAGAAAATCAGTAAATTGAATATTAAGAGACAGATTTTCCAGTCCATTTTTTGTTGTGCATTTCCCCCCAACTCCCCAAAAACATATAGGATCTGAAATTCCAAGATATCATGTTCATTTTATGTCCCCAACAATAAGACTGTATTGATGCTGGCTGAAATCGATGAATGTGTGACAGAATATTATTTCCATCCTTCATTAATATTCTAAATAGGCTCTACATTTAAATAGTTTCTATTTCCCATTCATTTCCTCAGAGAACTTAACATTCTTAGGCCAGAAAAAAACATGTTAATTTGTACCTTTCAATATGTTCTTTCCCCTCTATGCCTTAAACATTATCTTTAGCTCTGTTATAAGCTCTGGTATAAGTATTGCAACAAAAAATGTCCTGACTGTTCGTCACTCCAAGCATATTCTTTAGAAATAATATATTTTCAGTCCTGAAAGTGCTTGCTTACGTTTAGTTCATTAAAGTTTATTATTTCCTAAAATGCATGAAGTAAAAAATATTTCCGTTCATGTTTTAGATTTTCTATTAATTTTACTCTGCTCTTCCTTTTCTCCCATTTTCATAAACTAAGTAAACATAGTAAACTCTCCACAGTTTTTAAAGCATGAAATCCTTTCTGACATAAGCAGGAAACTACTTGAGTTTAATGATGAGGCAGAAATCCAACTGATTACAACAGTATCATCTACTGATTTTAACAGTGAGAAATTCTGTGACGCTATTTTGGGAATGTAATTTCTTTGCAGTCTGTCCCTTCAGCACCCAGGACATTTCTGGAATGATGGATATTCTATGAGGAAGGCAATGTCAAGCCTACAGACGTGCCTGAACACACTGGAAATTTATGGCCTGCTTTCTTGGTGCTAATGTAATGAGCTACATCATAGTTGAGGTTCAAGAAGAGAAGCTGTCATTTCAGAATTTGACATACATGGATGTTAGAAAAATTAACCATTTTCAAACAGATAAAAGCCATGCACGTATTTTCCTGTATGTTGTTGTATATAAATATAAGTGAAATTAGACTAATCATGGAAATGAATGATTTTCTAGCACATTTCCACTTAAAAAGGATAATAAAATATTTAGGAAAATCAAGATCTAAGTGAGCATTGATACTTTTTATAACAATTGGATACGGAATTTTAATTTCTTTTTTTTTTTTGGCAATAAAGTATTAGTAATATCCTAAAGTTTTACACACACACACACACATACACACACACACCTATTGTCAGACAGAATGAGAAGATTCTGTTTGGAATTATTTTTCTAAAACAGAATAAAGATTTAAGCCAGGAAAACACATTGACAAGTTATTTAGGGTACTGTATTTTTAAAAGAAATATAGCAAAAGTCTTCTATGGAGCTATCTTTGAAAAGTCTCCCTAATACTGTAATACCATGTTTGATGCTTTCTAAAGTCAAATATGTGGTGACAAGTAAATGTATTCCTTTATCAGCCCAAGTACAAAACTTTTATGTATGTTTCAAGCCAATTGTCATTTTTTAATCTCCAGTTAAAATTTTAATTATCAATAACAAACATGGACATGTAATTATATTCTATAGCCAATCTGTTTAAGCAGGTCTCACTCTTTTCACCCCAAGCTAAATAATCTCAGTTGGTACATCACTGTCTTGAGATTTTAGTACAAAGTGGGTTTCTGTTAAAAATAACTATAGTTATAACATCAAAAAAAACTTGAGATAAATAGAAATTTTAGTTCATGATTTTTTCAAGAGTGCAAACATAATTCAAATATAATTGCTACTTTAAAATTTCACTTATGTCAGACAGTAAGCAATCACAAGTACAGAAAACAACAGTTATTTGTTGAACAAATAGTGAAGACTTTTATGAACAGGATACCTTTCATGTAGTGGGCCACATGAAGAAATTCACATTAACATGAAATTTTGACTTTGCATATGGATGCACATTTTTTCATAGCTTTTGAAGTCTACAGGAATCTCATCACTTTCTTCTCAGAATGTTCTCCATGAGATAATTGTGTGCCATTTTGAGATGGGAGAGTTCCCTGAACCCCTTTGCTAGATTTGCGACAGGGATGTGAATAGCTTACTCCACCACCATACTCAAACCCTTTGCAGGAGGGAGAGCACACAGACAAGTGAGTGCCAGGGCTGGGGCAAGGGCTTTTGGGCTCTGGCCCCATGGTAGTGTCTAGGGGTGTGCT